CTTCTGCTTACAAACTGAAAGTTATTCTGGGCCTGTTCCTCAGATGATACAGACTGGCAAAGCTTCCCTGGAGTTGTGAAGTTCATTGGAGCAGAGGAGTCAGACAGCAGAGGTTCTGGCCCATGGCATGCATCTGGTTTCTTCTCTTATATCGCATGTGCTTATTCCTATGTTGTGCCTTCTTAGAAGTCTGCTTGAAGTCAGCAGGTGGTTTTACATATTTAAAGAGTGAATTATATAATCATGTGTGCTGAGAAGCTCATTACTAACTTGTTTTTATCTTCTTTTTTTTAAGAAAAAAAAATTTGGAAGAAGCTGTTCTTTTTAGTGTTGTGAAAAATCAGACTTCCCCATTGGCATGAGCTCTGTTGCAATCTGATAAGGATGTAAGACAGCATAAAATTTATGTTTGCTCTTATGTCTCCTGGGGTTCAAGCTGCTCTGCGTTGGCCCAATATTAAACAGAGAATGCATATATGTTCAGAGACAGACTTACAATGGGATTAGAGAAGCAAGTATGCTCACAGCATGACCTCTGCTTTTGCTCTCAATCTTCTTAGAAGCTTATTTTGTTCTCTGGGTTAAATTCTGCCTTCCAACTCTTTTCTGAACTCTAATGTTTATCTTGGGAGCACTTTCTCTTTGAAGCCCGCAATACTGGCATTGCTTGCACTCCCTTAGAAGTCAACCTGTATGCTCAACATCTTGGAAATTCCATTGTTTGACCTGCCTCTTATGCCACGGGTAGGCAAAAATATGAAATGCATGGGCTGTATTTAGAGATACGCCCAACAGTCTCTGACAAATCAACACATCCTTTAGCTTCTGATGAGAGATTCCTTCCACAAATCCCCCAGCATAGTTTCTGCAAGGAGGAGTCACTTAACAAAGCACCTGCTGTGGATGTCAATGTGCCTGTGAGAAGCCCACCAGAATTAAGGTAAAGCCATATCTGCCTTCTGGCTTTTCAACCATGTACTGTCAGTTGCAGGACTCACCTGGGAATGAGACATTTGCAGTGTGTTCCTATATTTCAGGAGCCACTTCGGAGAAATAAAACCCAAGTGAAATAGGCATTAGCTTAGCTGAGTCTATGAGAGAATTAAATTTACTGTCCTCTCTCTTCTGGCTTTATCCATTTGCTAGCAATATATTCAGAGGGGGAGGACAACACTGACAAATATACACTTTTAGTGTGGATAGAAGGGAGGAACTTCTTTGTCACTCAAATTCTAGCCCAAATTGTCTGCTTGGTTTTTATAAGATGGGGGAAAAAACAAACAAACAAGCGAGCCTGGATGAGGCTAAGCACTACCTATAAAGCTGAATCTTGTGATTATATTTAGTTTACTGAAATCCGTCATGTCTGTGAATATGCCTGGGAGAATTTTTCCTCTTGCTTCAGTAAATAACTTGTCAACAATGTATGCTGCTCTGTTCCCATAAAGTATGTTTCTCGTATACAAGCTAGGAATCTACTTTTTTTTTTTTTGCATCTGTGGGAAAAAAAAGAATCTCAAAATTCACATCTGGCTTGTGTACCTAATTAGGCAGGGCTGAATCCTGCCTCACTGCCAGCAGCGGCCATGTGGAAAGGAAATACTCAAATGCCATATTGCAGCTCATCAGCACAGCACGGCAAACTCACTTGGACTTCAGCAACCACTTCCACTCAGTCCTTTTTGTCCAGGGAGCTGCCAGGAGCACCTGACTTCTCCAGATGCTCAGTGGAGAAGACAAGAGATGAGGAAAGCAAAGAAATGAACATTGGCATGTATAAAGAGGATGAGTAAATCCATATAAGAATGTAGCAGCTTAAAATAAAGGAAAAAATTAGAAATGGTGAGGAAAGATTTAAGCATAATCCTTTCAAAAACCTTAAACAATCAGACAAAGCCAGAATTACCACCAAAGTTGACAAAGGATTTGATGCCAGTGCAGCTCAGCCTACAGACACAAGACTACCGTGCAAGTCTGCTGAGGCCAAAAGATCTACTCCAGGTCTGGACTCGGCTAGCAGTGAATAGCAATTAAAAAAAAAAACAAAAAAAAACAACCCCCACACAAAAAAACAGACAACTCATATTTCATGGATTAGGCAATGTAAAAAGAGTCTATTACCCTTTCCTGTTGAAGCTCATAGTACTACCTCATTAGACAGACTGGCTGTTACCTCAGGATCTTGGCAGGTAGAAAAAGCACAAGCAATGTTGGTGGTGCAGAGGGCATTTGCAGAATCTGGGGGCTTGAATATTCCTGTAGATCCTACTGCAGTGTGATAGGGCTTGGTGTTTAAATACCCCCTTGCTATTTCTGCTGTCCCTGGTTGGGCAAGGGAAGCTGGGAAATGTGACAGGGGTACAAGGTTTAGCTGAGAAGTCACTCCATTTTGAGATTTGTCAAGTAACAGAACTCTGCACTGATTTGCTCATTCCCTGTGTGACTCAGTCTGCTCTCTGGAGGATGTGATCCCTCCACTCTGATAACTTCTGTACCAAATCTGCTAAAGTGATGTCCAGGGGCTTCAGAGATGGATCTTTGGCAACACACAAGGGCTTCTGAAATGTTGTTTGAGTCAATTTTGTAACAAGGCTCCTGCTTCAAGCACTCTGCAAGGACAGTGACCTCCTCCAAGGTCATTTTTTTCCCCACATCTGCAAGGAGGACTCCTTTACAGGTTAATTAGTGGCCTGTCATTAACATCTATATCTGTTGTTTGGTGTTTTGAAAACCTTCATTTCAGAGGCCAGAAAGGAGTGGGAGAGCCTCCTACTGATATTATGCATGGGGATTACCACAGCTGAGCACGGTGGCACCTGATTAGCGATGGGAGAAGCGTGGCTGGCTGACATCTGCCTCTAGGCTGATGAACTGAGATAATATTATGGAAATAACAAACTAGATTCATCTTTTTTTGCATTCTTCCCTGCTTTATTGGAGTTGCAAGAGTTTTTCTGCTGGACACCCGCAGTTTTTTAAAGCACTTAATCTCATAACTATAATCTCATATTAATAACAAAAGCGGCTTACCCTGATTTGGTAGGTCACATTGGCTTTTTAGGGAGGTTCATGTGTGTGGCCTAAGGATTTTATGAATTGGCATTCCAGATAATGTACTGCACTGTCCTGACTCTCTCTCAGGTGTTTCTTGTCTCTCCCACTAAAAATAAAAATTAAAATGTTGGTTTTGCCTGGGGTGCAGTTCTTTAAATGCTTCTTTGGAGGCCTTTAGTGCCTTGCAGGAGTAGACTTTGATAGCAGAGGTACTGCACCAAAAATTGGAGGCAGGCAGTAGTAAGACAGACTTCAAAGCAGTCCAATCATGAGGGATGCCTTGATTTATTTTCAGAATAAATTAAGTAGAGTAAGAATACTACACATGTTGCATAAGAGATGAACATCTAATGCATAACATTCCTGGCCAGGCCTTCAGAGAGAAGACAAGGGGGATTTCTGCAGCTTGCAGTGGGGTCCTTCTCTTCCCACCATGCGTGTGATCAATCTTTTTATTAAAATTTACATGTTCTGTACTATTGGTGTTTAGCTGATTAAATTCAAATGTCCTTTTTCTAGAGGATTCCACATAAAACTAGCTTAACTCTCTACAGCTTCTTTCCAAATGAAATGCTGCAACGCCTTGCATTTTTTTTTTCAGTCATGCCCTTATTTTACATGATTTTGTGATGCTTTATCTGCAGTAGCTCATCCTTGATACTCAAAGGTTTCACTGAATCTGTCTCTTTTTACAGAAGTGAGAGGGGTAAAAAAAGAGAAAGCAAACAGTTCATGGCCTCATGTAAGCAATATGGAGTTTGTGCACACAAAAGAGAAATATTTTGGCCATATTTGAGTAAAGAGAAAATGCTGTTTTCTTACAGATGAGATCAGAAAATTTGTGTTAGTTCAGACTGAGACAATGCAGAATGAAAATGGAGGTTGAATTAATTTCATAACTTGTCCCTTTCTGTTGGTCTACACAAGAAAATACATGGTAACAAACAAAATATAACAGAATATGAAACAACAAATTGAAAGCACAGGAGAATGATTGCCTTTTAACCAACAACAAAAGTATAATGAGAAAAGATCAGTGTTCAACTCCTACTACCACTGTGAATCACAGCAAGCCACCCTTCCCTCAGAGAAGATACATGTGAGAGCTCTGCAGAATCTTCAAAGTTTATTTCAAGAGGAAACAGTTACAAAAGAACAAGCTGGTGTCTGTTTCTAGTGCTGCTTTGAGAAGTGCTTTCCACCCTTATGTAAGTTTGCTGCCTTTTTGGATCTGTTTCTCTCAAAATTCTTAGCAACTTCAGACTACCTTGGTCAGAAATGGGTGTTTGCACTGAAGCTTTTTACTTTCCTGAAATACTTTGGGAAGTAGGTGCTGTTGAAAGCACATTGATGTTTTAAAGCCTTTTGAAATGATGGCACATTTCCTGCAGCTTGCTGCTTTTGCACCATCTGTCTACTGAGACCTTCTTATTGCCAGAGAGGTTTTAGAAGGTATAATGCAGCCATGCTTGTCATCCAAGCTAGATCCAATGGGGTCAGTCCTTAGAAAACAAGATTAAAACCTTTGAGTAACCTTCAGATTGATTCAGTCCCTTTTTGTTCTTCAGGCCCTTTAAGCAAGAGGCATCCTGGTGGTGTAGACATGAAGAGATTTAGTTACTCTCAGCGCTTGCCCATTGCACACTGAAATGACAGTGTCCAGGCATCAGAATAAGTGTTTGGGAAACGTTGTGTTGTTAAACCCTGGTACAACTCCATAGAGGCAATAATTCGTGTGATGTTGGTATGTGAAATGTGCCACACCGAACCCTGGCTTCTGCTCTATGGCAGTGACCTGCACTCAGTCCTGCTGCACTGGGTTTTCGGCTGCCATCTTACTGGTTCCTCCTCTCAGTATCAGAGAACTTTGTTTTATCAGACTGCAAAGAAGGGACTTGGTCTAACTGGATGGCTGTAAAACATTTTCCTCTTTTTATTGTTCTCAGGGTGGAACCCGCACTTACCCGGATCAAAGAAGATCGAAAGCGGATCATCTTACCAGCGATTGACAACATCAAGTACAACACTTTTGAAGTGCAGCAATATGCCAACGCAGCCCATGGCTATAACTGGGGCCTCTGGTGCATGTACATAATCCCTCCACAGGACTGGCTCGATAAAGGGGATGAATCAGCTCCCATCAGGTAAATCTCCCGTGTCACTCTGGTACTATGGTTGTCTCCATGTCAGCTGTCTGCCAAGGGGGAATTCAAGTGAAGCAAGGCTGGAGGCTTTTGTACAGGGATAGTAAAATGAAACTGAGGAAAACAGATGGCTCTACAAAGCAGTTGATGCATGTGTCACAACTCAGAGCTGCACTGCAGTGTGCATAGAAGTGAGTGTGCTTTAGTTGTGAAAATGTGATTCAGGTTCACGTTGTGTCCCTTAGTAGGATAGCAGGATCTTTTTCATCTAGGCTTTTATTTTCTAAACGGACTGTGGCATGTGTAATGAGCCAGATAAACATTGTGTGTATGAGAAACGAAGGTATTTTGTATGTGATTACAAGGAGGCTGTCTTCACTTTGGGTCTGTAGGCAGCATTCTTGGACATCAGCCCAAACCAGAGCTTCCCAGCAGCACAAGTAGGAGATGTGTTAGCCTTGTCTTGTTGGAGAGTTGCTCTTTTTTTTGGAGAATTTTACATATGTTCTGAGTTTTCCCCCTGGATGGATTTTAAAATAACACTGGACCATATAAGCAGAGTATCATTTTACTTTCTCTGTAAGGTAACATTTTGCCTTACAGAAATGGAATTTTCTAAGGAAATACTGTTTCAGGAATTGTGATAGCGGTTTTGAGAATTGTTTAGAGGGATAACAGGAACTGATGAGAAAGGGACTTTCTTTCCCCTTCATTTGAAAATTCACATCTAGCCTTTCTTCTCTGGCACAGGTGCTTGTCTTACAGCTCTTCTGAGAAGTGCCATGCTGGGTGAAGGGTAACCCTTTTAGCAACAGCTGAAATGAGTGCTAAAAAATACAGAGCTCACCTATGCACTTTTGGTTTCTCTGCCCTGTTTTTGAGCTTTCTTAAGAAGGATGCAAACTGCCACCTTAGAGACATCTTCATCCTGATGTGTACCAGCTCCATCCTAAAGTAAACTAAACCTGCGTTGTATGGTCCCAATGCATGCTCTGGCACAGGTGATATACGTCCCTTCCAGCATAGAACCTGCGTTGTTGGGTCCCAAGAAGTTTATTCCCAACCCATCCAAGCAACTTGAACCTTGTCTAACAGGAAGGGCCCAAGTGGTCTTTTAGGAGTGAAAGGGCACAGACAGACTGCTCACATTTCTAAGACTGGTTGGCTGGAATGATCTCACAGGATCCGGCCCTCATACAGGAAATAATATTTCAGTCCACATTTGAGCAAGTGTTGCAAGTTGCTCTTAGGTTCATTCACATGCCCTGTGACTGCAAGACAGAGCTGTGCAGTGACATTAACCTTACTTATCACAGGACAGCACAGTCCTTCCTCACTGACCCTTTGCTCAGCTTGAAACCTCAATAAGCAGTAAAGTAATTACTTATGAAATCGGTTTTCTTGGATAACATGCCCTGTCCTCCTGTCATTGTTTTAAAAGTGCAGGTGTTTTATATCTATTTCACTCAGCTCTGAGAAATAGATTATTGAAGAAGAAAAATTAATCAGCCAAAGCTTTCACTCCTGAAATGGGGGTTTCAGCCTTTTATTCCCGAAAGGTTTTGCACACTTCATTACTTCCAGTTTATATGTGAAATCACTGTATTAATTTTCACATTGGTTGTTCTCATATTTGAGTATCTTCTGTTCAGGCGAACATTGTCAAATATCACATAAGACTGAACCAAGAGGTTAAACCTCAGCAACTTCCTTAGACACAATTTTCAGTGCACTATTTTCAGGTAGCTAGTGCACCCTCTGAAGCGTGGAATTCTGCAAAGAACTTCTGGAAATTCAGCTACGGATCTTTTTTAATAGAGAATAAGGAATCTTATCCCTGTGATGCTGTGAGAACTGTTAGTTTTCTTTCTGCTGTACGGGACCTGATTTACCATAGGCTCCCCTCAGGTTTACGGTCAAGTTCTTCCCAGTGTTATACTGGCACTGAGTTGGAGCAATAAAGAAGTGAATAAGGTCCAAAAACTCAGGCCCTGAGTAGTGTTGCAATCTGATGCACATAAGCAGCTGGCTCCCAAGAGCGGTGATTTTCTTCTGAGCAGAAACCCTCCAGCTCACCAGTGCATAAACTGCACAGAGACGAGACCAGCAGCATGAGGAGGAGAGCACCTGACCCTTGCTGACAAACACAAGGAGCACCGAGATGTTCTCGGTATGGAAGGCTCTCTCCGGCAAATCACAAATTACATGCCCCAAAATGCAGAGACGTCAATGTTGAACCGTGAACACTTACATGGCTCCCTGGGAACGTGTGCTTTGAAGGCAGTGATCAAGGAGAGCAGAGCACTCGCTTTATAGCCATGCTGCCCTGATTTCTGATGGAATAGCACCTGAGTGGATTTGCCAAGGCATTTGGCTGTGCTGTTTTGTGCTGTTGGGTTATGCCTGGCTATAGAAATACAATGCAATTTTGTGTCTTAAATGAGATGCCGGTGTAATTATGGTAATGGAAAGAATGGAAGTATGAGTGTAATTGATGGAAAGGCTCAGGAAGTCTGTACTAAGTACTGGGATTTGAAAGCATGCATGATAGGAACTTACTAACTGTAAAAATTTAAGGTTTGAAAAGGAAGGGGAAATCAGAAAAGTAAGCAGATTTCTTTAAAAGTCTCTGTAGGTCTGGGACAGGGTTTGGTTTTGTAACTAGCTTTCCGCACAGTGTACTGCAACGATGATTTCTGTTTCAGTCCAGTTTGGCAGGGAGGCAAACTGGTCCACATTGACAGTGTTTGGAGCCCTGTGTCTCTTCAGTGCATTCATAAGACTGTTCATCATCACAAAAACTGCAAGTTCATTCAGTCTTTGCCTGTCTCCCCTAAAGCTTCCTTTGACACTGTCTTTAGCAAATAAGGGGTTTGTTTTGCATGTCTCTGTTTTGTAAAAGGAAAGGCTAATAACTAATAACCCTAAGATTGGTTATGTGGTTGATGTAGACGAATTCTTACTCCCAGATCTCCAAAGGGATTAAAAATTTTCAGTGGAAAATATGTGCCCTGGTATCAGAGAGGATCAGAGCCCTGGCATTTCTGATGTTTACATTGCATGAATAAATATCTCGATCTGCAGAATTGGACGAGATATTTAGGAAGTAGAGTCCAATTTCTGTTTTCTTCTGGGATTACACAACAGATGTGCTTACTTCTCCTTTTCTCGGAAGTTTGTTACTTGAAGCCTGATCCTCTACTTTCTTGAACACTAACAGCCATGCAATCCTATTTAGAGCCTTGCTGTGAAGGAGCAGGAACTGCCCCTCAAGTCCATGGGACACCATATAGGCAGTTATGTCAAGTGCACACCATAATATGCCAGACCAGCTGTTGTGGTCCAAGTGACAAAAGGAATGTGGCCTTGAAGTGCAAACAAAGGTAAAGACATAGCAAGAATGAAGTGTCAGATTTTGTAATTTCTGGTACAGTTCAAAGTCGGTTCTTTTTTTTTTTTTTTCTCCATGTTAATAGTCTGAAATTCAGAACAACCGATGTTCCCCTTGCTTCTGCAGGCAATCCATTTTGCATGTTTGACATTTAAGATGTAAGATGTCTCTAACGTGAAGATTTAAATGAGGATTGGTATTTTGACACACTGTGTCCATCACATCATTTTCCATTTGTGTTCCTGAGAACACGCTGCCCAAAAATGTCCTTATCATCTGGCAACAAACCACGTAACAAAGGATACCATTTCAGAGGGTTTCTAATGAATTTGACTGTGCAGTGAAACAGGGTGGATTTTTTTTCTCTGTACAAAAGATACTCCTGGATTTTGGAACAGCAAGGAAGGTGCCTGGTATCCTGAGCTCTGTCTCGTCTTCCCTCGCCTGCCATGATGTTGATGGACTGCTCAGTTTGGTTTCATGATCTGAAGCCACTAACACTGGAGTCGTTAGTCAGCCTCACTCAGCCGAGTGTTGCACGGCTTTCTGTATTATCTTCCTCCAGCAGCAGCGGTGCAGCTCGTTGTTGCATGTTCTCACTTACTGCTTTAATATGCTACGGCTTGGTACTGCAAGGAACGTGTGTGTGCACTCACCGAGTCAGCCACTCCAGAAAGCACGTGTGTCTTGTGCACATACAGGAATTATTGTCTGGAATGCCTACGGTGAGGCTAAAGCTGCCTGCTTTAGCTGAGATTGTGCATGCCCATGTCACCTGCAAGTTAGACGTGCTGCTGTGTCGTAGAGGTGGGGATGCAGCTGTCTATGCTGCCCTGGGAAGAAATCCATCCATGTACATGAGCTTAAGAAGGGGTTCAGCTGTAAAGTCTGCTGGGATAAACCATGCAGTCATGTAATAATACAACTGATGGCTGTTAATTGATTGATTTTGGCCATCTTTTCATTTGCTGGTTCACAGGAGCCTGTAACAGAGCAGTTTTTTTTTTAGTTGCCAGGTTCTGACAGGTGTCCTGCCTGTTCGAAAAAATACACTTCTGCAGGGCATCAAAATGTTATTCTACATCCCTATTTCCCTGCCAAGCATTCCTAGCCAAGCATTCTGAGTTGCTTTTTTTTTTTTTTTTTCTCTTGCTATATCTCTCCAAAGGAGTTAGCAAACCTTCTCTTCATTAAGCTTGTCAGGTTTTTTCCTGCAGCTCCCGAACAGCAAATTTGTCCTTGAGTTCTGTTCTCACAGCCTGGTGTGATTCTTTTATTGCAAAAGACATGATTTGTAAGAAAAAATAAATGCTTATGCAGTCTTCCCCACTTATCTGTCAGGTCAGGGTTGAGGTGCTGCTTAGGAACCTGAATCAAAGCAATGTTCTGCCAGGAGAGGTGGAAAACTCAAAGATATGGTGTGTGATATGTCATTTCAACCTCTTTCTCCTTATCCCTGTGTATACATGTATGTTTATGTATTTTTTCGTAATTATTTTAATGTCTATATTTGTGTATTTGAGTGCTTTTGCAGGTCAGTTGTCCTGGAAGTAGTTCTTACAGCATGCTCTGAAAACTGTTTTAACTTGACCTGATTGCACACAAAGTGACCTTAAGGCAGGGGGAGAAAGGTGTGTAACGAAGAGGAAACGCTGTGGTTTCACGTGCAGTATGGCAGTCTGGTGCTCAGCCCTTTCTCCTTTGCTTGCTCCTGACTAAGCCCCCAGGCAGCATCCTTCAGCTGCCCACAGAGGGAAGGAGGGCGATGGATCTGGCTGGAGAAATGGGTATGGGCACCTGCTGCAGTTCTGCCAACAGAGCCATTCTCCCGGAGGTCTTGCTAAAATAAAACAGCCTCGGCTCAGACCTACAGCAAGTGGCTTTCACTTCTCTGCCCCTGGAGCCCACCAGGCAGCAGGAACTGCTCCCTTCCATGCAGTGCCTCTCCCTCCACGTCGCCACCCACACAGTACCTGCTGCAGCAGCAGGCGGAGAGGGAGGAAGGATTTGCTGCCATGAAGTGCTGCTTTCACTGCTTCCTCCCTTTCCCCAGGGCAATATGCAGAATAATCTCTCTCCCCTATCTCCCTTGCTACAGCCATGCCATCAAGTAATTTCCACAAATTGACTATGCTGTATCTTTCACCAGCGCAGAATCAATAGTATTCTGTGCTGCCTTCTAAGATTTTAACTGTAAAAGCCACTTTACTGTGTTTCCTGTTATCCTTTTGCTGCTGCTGTTGATTATAATTAAAGCTTATAGCATCCTCAGTTGCGTGAGAGAATATTGCACAGATCAATTAATTCTCTCAACACCTTTGCGCTGTTGGTAAAAAACAGTACATCTCCAACTGCTGGTTCACGATGCCTTCCTTCTAAAAATGTCTCTGTTTTACTACAAAGTCCATGACTAAAGGAAAAAGGTCATTTTCTATACAGCAGCTGTAGTTTAAGTTAATCTGTTTCACTTTGCAGCTGAGAAGTGCTAAAGGCATGCAGCTTCTCACTTTCCACCCTTTGGCCAGGGGTAGGAGTTTAAGACATGTTAGCACAGTTGCTTTTGCTTGTATGTTTGTTTCAGACTTGCAAGGGGAGTGCTTGTTGTGCTGTACTGAAAGCAGTAGATACACTGGAGCTTTTCAGGTGCTGGGGAACCAGAGATGACAGCCAGGTGACCATGCTTTTTGGGGGACACGTTTTCTGAACGTGTTTGCAATATGTCAGTGTTACGCCGCAGACTAATATGAAATAAAAAAAAAGGCTTGAAGTGCTTTTAGAAATGAATTTTAAAGCTTTTAAGCTGCCGAGGCAGTTTAGAAACTTTTACCCGGTATTATTATCTGTGCTTTGCAGCCAGAGAGGCAGAGGCTGAGGGAGGTGGCTCACCGAGGAGCAAGTGAATGACAGGGCTGGGAGCAGAGCCGAGGTCCCAGCCTCACAGCACTGTTGCCAGCTCACTGGGCTGTGCGATCGCATCGCACTTAGTTTACAGTTGGGTCAGTCAAAGCACAGGGAAGTTGAGGGCCTGGGCTTGATGAGGGCTGAACGTCCAAAACTCTGGTTGAACCTGATGGAGGTGCTGACACACACTGTTCAGAAAATGCAGTGTTGTGCTTCCTAGGCAATTTCTTCCTTTGCATCAGGATGCGGCGAGGGCAAAGCCTTGGGTTTCTCATTTCATTTCCCCTGCAGTGACCACACTCTCCTTCAGCTTCTGGGGCTGCAGCTGTGCTGCTGCACAGATGTGCAGTGACTGTGGGAAGCCAAATTCAAGTGGAGAAAAGCACTGAGGGTGACAATTTTTAACTGGCATCTCTGAAGAGCTGGATGTGGTCCCTTCTGCCATTGCATTGCTTTTGATTCTCATTCCTGAAAATATTTTTTTCTGAATATGCCATGAAGGGTTGTGGGGTCTGCCTGCATTTGCGTATATCAAATGAGAAGAAATAAAACCTGGGAGAGAGAGAGAGAGTGTTGCAACAGCAGTCCTCAGTGGCATTTGTCTGAGAGTAATGATTATGTAGTTGCATCCAAAATGTATTTCCCACCCCCATTCAATTACCAGGTTGGTGTTTTAATGGACAGAGCTGGCGGCTGTAAAAATTCCTCTCCCAGGGAGAGGGATTCCAGCACCTGAGAGCAGTCTGCAGAGCCGAGATGTAGCACTCCTCGGTAGGAAAGGAGGAGAAACACCCTCCTGGGAGCATCCTGCTGCTTTAAGGAACTGCCTCTGGAGGATTTTTTTAGGGGGCTGGAAAGAGAGTGGGTCTAATCCCAAACTAAAGCTGAGTTTTAAAAAGCAGTGATGCTCTAGCATTCATACACTGGAGCCTTGTTCTTAGCTTTAAATACATAAAAAAGCAAATGAAGAAAGTGCCTTGTGCTTCTTCTCCCCACCCCCTTCTCTTTTTGTCATGGTTAAACCTTAAGAAATACCTAAATAATCCCTCAAAGGCTTATTTAATTTCAGACCTACCGAATTTCCTTTCTTTGGTCATGCCCTTCTTTTATTTCACTTTCCAGACAAAATTTATTCCTTGGTAGCCTAAAAACCATTTGTCAATGATGCAGGATCTCAGCCTTTGTTGAGGCAAGTCTGTCTTCAGGCGTGGCTCTAGGAGCTATAAACAAGAAGACACATTTTAGCTAATAATTACCATTTACAAATTCCATCCATCTCACAAAAATCCCGGTATATAAGTACATGAATAAAGAGAAGAGGGATGTGTCCTGCCGAGAGCACCCAAGAGACTGATCCAACAGACATCCTTCACAAATAGCAGCACCAAACAGAGACGTGCTGGTGTTTCTTGCACGTACAAGAGGGGGACTGGGGGGCTGTGGGAGAGGTCCAAGCACCGAGAGCTCTGGTGGTGCCCCTGCCGCAGTTTGTTTGTAGGGTTTGTGGCACCTGGCCTCAGTTTCCCCCAGCCTTTTGGAATGAGTGGCTGCAGGGAGCTGGCTGAGAGCCCCATCTTCAGTCCCAGGTCATCCATGAAAGCCTTAGTAAACATTGCTGACTCTCACCTCTGCAGCTCGCAATCCAGGGAGTGCGTCTTACTCGAGGGGGGAACGTGAGAGTTAACCGAGCTATTTCAGCTTCTTTGTCAGAAACGGTGACGATCAGATGTGTTTCTATCAACAGCTGCCTTTTCCAATTATGCAGAGAAAACAAGAGAGGGATAGTGTGCACTGCAGCATGGGCCTGTAATGATCTGAGAGGCTGCAATGGCTTTCAAACAGAGAAAAAGTGCAAGGGAGAGACACTGAAACAGTACCAGTAATGTGAGCGCCACAGCAGAGTCCATTACAGCTAAGTAATAGGAGTGTTTCAGCAAATGAACCTTTTCAAGGGTACCAAATAGTTCCTGCCACAGGTCGGGCTGTGCTCTGCAATGTCGGGGTATGCATTAGGGACAAAGAATTGTTTTATCTCACCATACCTCGGCCGTTGCTTTGAAGCCTTTTAACCTCCTGCTATAGAGATGATGAACTCCTGGTGAGATAAGGACCTCGTGCTAGCGCCAGTCCAGCAGCCACCTGCTGCTACCAGTGGGATCCACCAATACCTGGGTAAAAAGGGTCTTCTTTTCCCCAGCCAGGGCGGTTTTTCATGTGTGTATGAAACTGCCTTGTGAATATGTTTCTGAGATGCCACCGGTAAATATCTTGTGAATTATTTTCTGGACAAATTGGAGAAGCATTCAGCTATGTGTAAATTTGTTAGGAGGTGGTTTCTGTAATAGCTAATAACTGACTTTGTTCTTTTCTTTTGTCTCTTTCAGGACACCAGCCATGATTGGGTGCTCGTTTGTAGTAGACCGAGAGTATTTTGGTGAGATTGGCCTACTTGACCCTGGTATGGAGGTCTACGGAGGAGAAAACATCGAATTAGGCATGAGGGTGAGTAAGGAAGGAGACACTTTGTGCAATGTCTGTTTGCGAAGAAAAACAGGAGCCTGTGGCCCAGCAAAAGTGCTGCCTACCTGACTGCAGGCTATTGCGCTGAAGTAATTGATACTGCAACGCTATCTGGAACGGACAGTCCCAGTAAATGAATGTTCCTGGTCTTACTGGCATTGAGACAACTGAAAACAGTCAGAAATATGGTTCCTTGGTTCATTCTGTCAGTGTATGAACCTGATGAGACAAATTCTCCTCCTTTTCTGGTAGCTCTGTTTGTGTTTAGAGCTGTGCTAACAGTCTGTGTGTGCTCATTGCGCCTAGATGATGTTGTATGCATGTGGTCTAGCAGATGCAGTACTGATGGAAAACTAAGGCCAGGCTGAGAGATGTTCTACATAATACACATGATAATTGCTGTGGTGTTTTAGGACATTAAGGGTCTTTTTTACAGAATAAGAACTACGGGGTACAGGTACAGTCCTGAGATTGCTGTACATCATGTTTTCCAACATTGTCTTCCTTCAGACTTGTACTTTGTGACTTCTTCAGTGGTATTCTCACAGAGTCTTTGGGGCCAGCAGGTATCAGTCCGCACTGTGCTTCTGAGCCTATTTGATACTTGTCATCCTTTGGCCTTGTTTTTAAGGTGCTGCTTGCCAGCAAGTCCTTCTGAAGTCCAAGGAACCTGCCATTGCTTAGCACTTGAAAATTAGACTACTTAATGTTGCATGAACACAGTTTTCTCATTATAAAGCTGGCTGTTTAATTATTTTCCCCTTACTCTTTATTCCCTGCTTCACAGAAACACGTCCCTGGTGCATGTAATGTGCTCGTTAAAGCATATATTCTGCTCATGCTGAAACACTGAACATCAAATTAGTCCATCCTTTATCCAGCTCTTTTTTTTTTTTTTTTTGTTAAATGGCTCCAAACTCCTTCACACCAGTGGGCTGGGAGGGAAGGTCATTGTAGCCAGAGCATGTTTTTGCATATGGGTGTGTGTTTATTATTGCAGAATCGCAAGAGGGATGGGGTTTTTAATGGGACTGTGTGGCTACACTGCGTACACTTTCAGGTTCAGAATTCACACTGGGGACAGAAAAACTGCTACCACAAATCATCCAATTTTCCTTAAGAGGGTCAGGCTATTACCAGGATTGTGTGAGCTTTCCTTTATCATTGTGCAGGGCTTTGAGCTGTTTGAAACTTTTTCCACATGGCTGCTTCCTGAATAGATTGAACGCTCTGGCAAAACTCTGGTGTGGCTGATGAATAAGCCTCCTAAGAAATCTGAAAGCTGTCACTCTTCCTTAGACGAGAAGAACTTGCTGAGTACGATTAGGGCTCCTGGTAAATGGAGGCAAAGGTTTTAATAGGATTATGAAATGGCACTTGCTTGAAGAGCCGAGGATTTGAAGTGTGTGAAGACAGGTTTTCAGGGGTAGGAAGCCTGTTAAAGTCTGTAGATACCAAGTTCTAGAAACCAGTTCTTGGTCTTTGGGGCTTTTGTTTGTTTGCTTGTGTGCTCATTTGTTTTCTTACTGTATAAGGAATAATTAACCCTACTCTAAAAGTTGGAAAAGGGATTTATAAAAGTACAGGAGTATGATTGAGTTCATTCTGCAATAAGCTGTATAATGCATTGTATGACAATAGCACGGAACCATCCGTCTATGTTTTCTGCCTGAATCCAGCACAGTAAGTAACACAGTGTGTGCGCCTTCTAATCTGCAAGTCCTCTGCTGATCCCCTCCTGGGTGTCTTTCAGAGCTGTCAGAAACTAGCAGCACGAAAATGCACGGGAACATCTTCCCTTCCCTGTAGGATATTTATAAAATCCCCGTGAATCTACAAAGACTTTTTTTATAAATGCAAAATCTCAAAGTTGCAAAAATTCATTCCTTTCCTGAGTCCTGGTGTGCTGATCTGCACAAGGACCAGCATCCAGAGGAGCAGCCATGGAACAAGGACAACTGCAGACCAGAAACTCGGACCAGGAGGGCAGAGGCTGGCCAGGAAATTACAAAGCCACAAGCCTCCCACACAGTATTTCCTTAGCATTTCAGCACAGTGCCTATACAATGAATATTAGCTCAGCTTTCCAGTCTGGAGCAGAAGAAGCCACACAGCATGGATTTTATAGCAAATGTGTGACATAGCTGCGAGCCTCATGGTACACTGAATCTCCTAGGAAAATCTCCACATGATGCTGTCCAACTTTTCTCTGCAGCAGCCAGTGTTGAAGACTTGCTGTTGCTCAGAAGCCTTGTGAGGGTAACTGGGCTACTGCTGTCTTTCCCTGGAGTGTGGCTGTACTGGCACAGCACCTGGGCGAGCTGAGCAGGGAAGAGAGGCAGAGTACTGAGCATGTCCCCTGCAGCTGCATGGTGGGATGCTATTGCCCATGTGTGACTGTGTGTGAAGCAATGAAAGACACAAAAGGAAGGAATAAATGGATGAATAAAGAGCAAGAAATAATGGTGGGGAAGTGGTGGGACACGTTCGGCTGAAAATAGTCCCTATTTTAAAAAGCTATGACAATAATCCTTTAAACTTCTTAGCAAATTATCATCATGTTACTGCTAAAGGAAAATGGATTAGGCTTGGAGAGTCTGAATTAGATTACATTGCATCTAATGAACCTTCATTTAAATTGTTTTCATAATGTGAAATAGGGAAAGTCGGTGCAACTAATGAGCTGATTTGGGAGGATACTATTTGATAACCCAGCTAATCCCCCTCAGATCTATTGTTTATTTAAAAAAATAAATAAATAAATCTTGGATATTCCAGTGTTAGCTGTACCCTTTTCTAAATTCCAGAGTTGGGAATATTTATATAATTAACCTAAGCAATTTTCTATATTGAGTAAGCCCCACATAAAATGATTGGGAGTACCACATCTGATGAAAATACTCTGGGCTCTCCAGTTCTTTTTAACTCGCATTTTTTGTTTGTTTGTTTGTTTGTTTATTTTTGTGTAAATATACTGGTTAGAGCTGTGACATTCTCCTAATGGGGTAGCTTTGCAGTGAAGCCAGTGTCTGCCAGGCTAGGGAGATAATGCTTTGATTGGGAAAAGCACCAGCCATTCTGGGAAATAAAAGGGAGGTGGGTATGTTTGCAGGCTAGCAACAGTAGGGAAATAGATGGACCCTTATATAATGTCATCTTGTAGTATATTTTTCAAAGATGACAGTTTCACTGCAAGATGGATAAATACAGGACTGCATTCTGGTTTGGACAAAGGTTTTGATTCTGTTAGTGTTCCAAAACCAGCTTCTAAACCTGATGGGAATTGTCTGTGAACAGCTAAAAGCTGATTTTGACCTGGAAGTGTATGAAGTCAAATTGTGCCTGACTCCTGTGTGGATGGGGTGTGCTCCACAAGCACCAGCACCTTGCCTTGTTTGCTGCTCAGCACCAGCCACCATGCCACTGCTCCATCTCCTTGGTCCTGCTTGGATCCAGTGAGGGGTAGATAGCCCTGCTTGTATTTCAGCCTGGTTCAGCTATCCTTTAACCAACGTGGAAGCAGAGATGAGGAAAAATGATGGAACTTTCTCCTGCAGAAAAGCTGTGGATGTGTCAATGCCTTAAGGAGACAGCCTTGTCTCAGGGTAGATCATGTTCATCTTCGCTGCTTCTGGGCACCGAATGGTCTCTCTGACCTGCAGTACAGTGAGATGGCCCAATAGAAATGGGACAGTCACCTAGTGCTTGATTTTTGTTCAGACACGTATTTAAAATATAGAGGAAGAGAGGGATCCATTTAGGTGAGGGTCACAAATTATGACCCTGTAAGAAATTGAGTGGTAAGCTCCTGAGTGGGAGCTTACAAACATATTTAGTTATTTGGAAAGGGATTATATAAACAGTAAAAGCCTAGTTTATGTTTTGACCTAATACAAGCAGTTTATGATGCATCTTTTTATAGCAGACTCATTAATCATTGCACTAAGTATCTCTTCTCTTCTTCTGGTGCTGCAATGATAAGGTGAATGAATTGTTGTTCTTATTTTGTACACATCGACTGTAATGGTGAGTGGGAAGAGATCAAGCATTCATCTTAAAGGATGCTCCAGCAAAAAAATGAAATTCTGTTTCCACCATTAAGAATCTAAATAAATTAAATAAAATTGTTGTCACATCGACAGATGAAAACAAAACTTTTTCACTCTCACATCCAGCATCAGCCAAATTACTTTCTTCTCAATAGCACTGTAATATACCTCTAAGGAGGACATCTGCATTAGTTGATGAATTGTTTTCAGTGCTATCTCAGAGATTTTTAAAACAGTAGTAATAATAATTAAAGCAAAATAAAAACATAGTATCTTACCCAATTTGAGATATCTTAAAGGAACCTGGAGTTTAAGAAGTCCTGGCCGGAGAGATCAACTGGGAATATCCATAGGCACCAGTGTGACAGGTTAATTCTGTGGTGGATTCAGGTGATGGCTTAGTTCTCCAACAGGGCTTAGATTATGTGGTTAAGAGTGGCCAACCCACCTAGCTGAAAGCAAGCCTGGGTTGTATATAGAGAGATACAGAGAGTCCCACCTTTGTCTTTATAGAAATATTGTTTGAACTGTAAAAAATCATGATGCAGATTCACTGGAATCTTTCTAACAGGAAATAGAACTCATTACCTAATGCACAAGCAAATCATACTTTCCAAATTTATGCTATATGACCTAGCTTTGCTTTCCTAAAAACCAGATGAGCTGTGTTTTCTCTGAGCAGGAACGCTAATGGCAGGTAGTTGAATAGTGAATTCTTGACCTTATTTTATTACTTTTAGCTAAGGAGATTTAGATTCCTTTGTTCCTTTGAGCAGGCAGTGTTTTAAACACAGATTCGAGGTTGGTGTGCTGTAATAAAAATGTCACAAGATTTATGTATGGCAAATTTTAATTCTGAATTCTGGATGATGCTTTTTACCCTGGTGATTCATGAGGGCAGATGCCTTCTAGTCTCAGAGCTAAGAAGTAAGT